TTTTTAGGAACAGATCACATCATGTTACATTGACTCTCTCTGACATACGTGGTTTCACTTTTAGGAACCTTGCTGTGATGAACCTTTTAGTGCTACCTATATCCATATCTGGAAAACTTAGTAACCTTATTCCTCGCAGTTCTCCTAAAGTTTCATGCTTATGATTCCTTAAATGTAGAAGTGGATTGAGCTCCAACTTGTCTGGCATGATCATCATGAGTAGCTTCTTCTGCTGCATCCGGTGTGCATGATTTACTTATTCCTGAATTCTGATCCTCTGTTATAAGCAGATCCCATCAGATGGGTTTCAAGCTGCTTCCAAGCTCCAGATTCTGGATCTGAGTGGTGCCGCTGGTTCTTTACCTGAAAACCCAGCATTTTCAAGCTTACCGGAGTTACAGGAACTTTATCTGAGGTTTGTCTTTATCTTAGATGTGATAACTTGCTTCTTTTGCTGGTTAAAAAGTTACTGACATTTCATTCTTGGGCAGACGCATGCAAATATCAGTTTTCCCTTTGGATATAACGACTTTGCAACAGTTGAGAATTCTTGACTTGAGCCAAAACCTCCTCCAATCGATTCCTGAGGTGACCATCTCTCTCTCTCTCTTTTTTTTTTTTTTTTGTTAATNTTTTTTTTTTTTGTTAATAAATTTGGTCTGCTGTTTGATACTACTGCAAATTAGTTCTTTCCATCTGTTGTTAATTTTCATTGTCATTTTGGTGACATACCACTGCAAAGATATGTCTTTTCGTCGGAGAGCAAATGTTTTTTCAATTAATCAGATGGACATACTGGCCTTTTTGCTGTCTTTCATATTTTGCTTGTAATTTTGCACTGAAGTGCAGAGTTAGAACTTGTACATGATTTTGTACTGCAGAGTTTGATTTCCCAGAAGATTATACTGACATCATTTCTCATTCGCCTGCAGATTATTAAGAATCTTACTTCTCTTACAGAGATTATTCTTTCAGACAACAATATTACATCTCTTCCGCCAGAGCTGGTGTGTCAAAATTCCATTTGTTTCTTTAACTGTTACCTTTTAGTTTGCAAATTGCTGGTAGTAATTGACTTTATATGCATGCACTGTCTCCAATATAGTACATTGTCATACTCATTTAGTTTGATGAAATGTTACATCAATTCCAAAATTTATTTTAGTTGAATGCTGTTGTCTGTTTTTAAGAATTGATATTATTTTCAAGAGGCTGCTACTGGATTGACATGCTATCTATGGTATTATAATATTATTTACCTTGTTTCTGGTGCATACAAACTTTCTGTTGTTATATTCCAATAGACGCTTGCTTAAACATCTGAATTTGCAGGGTTTGCTCGAAGTCAACCTGCAGGTGCTAAAACTTGAAGGAAACCCAATTAGAAGGTATTCTGAATCTTTAGATAGACTTTGGTAATAAGTTCTTGTATATATATCATTAAGCTCAAGCATGACAATAAGGAATATGATGGTAAAGATAATAATAAAAAAAGGAGTTAAAAGCATAGAAAACATAGTTGGGTGGCTTGATCACATTATTACCCAATTGTTATTCTACATATTTAATACAGTCAAAGAATGAATATACAATGAGCTTTGTACATTTTAAGTTCTTAAGCGTCTGTATTCAAGATTTGGAAACACAGAATTAGCTCGTTTAGAGATAACTTCTGGTTTCAAATGCTCATGCAGCATCCGAAGGCCAATTTTGGATCGAGGAACAAAAGCAATCCTGAAATATTTGAAGGAGAGAATTGTTGATCTGTGACAAACATGTCCTCTCTCAGGAAAACTTGAATTTCGTGTTGTGATTCCGTGAGTTAGAAATTTGCTGATTATATTTTCGCCCGCTATTTTGTCCTTTATGTGTGTTGTAATTTGTATGATGTTTTTCTGCATTGTACCATGATTCTTGCTCCAGAAAATACAATTGTGTGTACCGATGAGGTTTATGTTGTAATGTTATACACTGTTGTAACTTTAAATTCTTGGTGAGCTTTCATGATTGCGGGATACGCCATAAATTGCACTCTTTTATCTGTATGAGAAAGAATGAATGATTACTAGAAATGCTACCCACCATAGCTATGTTGAACTTAGCTATAAATTATGGTTCTCTTGAAGATAGCAATTACCTCCTTATAGCCTCCATAAGTAGTCTGAACTTAAGAACATTTTGAAGACTTAATATCAGATTAATAATTTTCTTGGTTGGAGTTTGCTTGGGGTCAGTTATGCGTTAAACGGAGAAAAGATTAACTTCAGATGGTCTTGCCTCAGCGATCAGCCAGACCTGCATCTGCATAAGACGTATGTAAATGGGTGCAAGTAATGGTCGAAAGATAAAATGATTGGTTTGAAAAATGTTTGTTTTCTGTACTCATTCAGAACAAAGTCAAGCTTCCCAACGAAATTAATGGAGCCATGTATTTGCATGTATTTGCTGTTAAAATTAGTACACAATGATCTGAGAGAAGAGAATTCATGTGGCTAAGGCATCACAATGAGGTAGTTTGAGAAATACATTCTCCAGCGTGAGAGTGAAAGATGATGATGATGATGATGATGATCATAATTATAATAATAATAATAATTAATGTAGGACTTTTTTATCAAAGTCAAATCGAACGTATCGCAAGGAAGGCTAGCCGAATTATTTTGCGCGATTATTCAAGCACAAAAAGAAAAAAAATCCTAAACACTCTAATCAGATTGGTTGAGTATTGCTTAACAACTAAGAAGCGAAACAAAGCAAGAACTCAATTATTAACTTTCAAACAAGTTTCGGATATCGATTAAGAAGCTAGGGAGTCGGGAATAATCGTTCCTAATTCAAAGTAAAATATCAAGGGATCGTTCGGTTAAATGATTCTATCAACCTACACATCACCGGATTTAACCTCAATAACTTTCGTAACAATAAACATGGATGACAAATCAATCAAATTAAAACACGTATAGGTAATACAATTACGAACAAGCCTACTCTATACGAGCATAGGTCGAACAACATCTCCCATCTCAATTCTAAAAGTTGCTTAATTGGATTAGAAGGTGATCACACATCTAAGGATATGTAATTTAAACATTTTGGTCGAGGAAAGGATATGTATAAGGATTAAGTAGCTCAATAAACAATCACAACTTTAGAGCGAATAGACTCGAATATCATGCCACTCATCTGTAATCAACATGACATGTATGTTATTAGTACCCAACCAAAACTCCATACACAATGCATAAGTGATCAAATCGAATTGCAATTGAGTACTTGGCCATTATTTATTTATTTAGAGAGTTTGTTTTTCCCAAACAAGATCGAACCGTAAGGACAATATTTTGTATGTTTAAACATGGAGGGTCATCCAAATGTTCTAGAGTGGTTTCCCATTACTCATTACTCGTCAAAATAAATCAACAATTAAGCAGAGTAAAATCCTTTCAGTTCGCTTATGCTCTCATTCCAACAATCTAGAATATTTATAACACCAAGCATGGTACCTTAATAGTTGGTTTAAACAATTGTAACCAAAATTTCCATGTACAATGTTGCCCCTTATACAAGTGAAAGTTGACTAAGTATTACTATTTATGGAGCTCGACTCTATTTCCACAAATAGCCAATTTACGTATTTGATGCATTTAATTATTATTATTATTTACATTAAATCGAGTAATTAGTTTAAAATCTAAGCCATGGAGAATTTATTCGATTTTTAATTATCAAAATCAGATTTAGTTATCCCAAGTATCAGTATTATTTTTAAGGTAAAACCGAGCCTTGGAAATAATTGAAAATTTTATTAAGTTGGTCCGAAGCCCAATGATCGAGCAAATTCAATTATATTCAGTCCATTTTATTATCTTAATCGGCCCATTTATTATCTCCGGCCTATTTTAATTAAATCGAGCCTAAGATCAATTTTAAGTTAGTCCATTTTAAAAATCAAGCCATTTTATACAGGCCAACTGGCCCAATTATTTTCTTTATCGAGTCCAACATTTAATTATTCGGTCCAAGTAGCGGTATTTAGTTATCTAAGCCCGGATCGATTAAATACCGAGCCCGAGTCATAACCTGTTAAAGATCGAGTCTTAGGGAGTGATTGGATATAAATTCAACTAGTAAAAAACTAGTTTTTTTTAACTATAGTTAAGTTTTAAAAAAGTAGTATGGTTAGTTGTTAGTGGATATATTAAATAATATTTAAATTAAAATAATTAAAGTTGATTTGATGTAAAAGTAGGAGAAAATGATTGGAAGTGATAGTTAGTTAAAATTATGTGAGTGAATGAATAGTGAATTAAAGTTGATGTGATGTGTAATAATGATTGGTTGATATTATTTAATTATATTGATAATATTGGAAATAGTAGAGTTGAGTTAAGGTTGAGTTAAATTTGAGTTTTGAGTGAGATATTTACTGTTGAAATTATATACAATCATGCCCTTAGTAATTTAGGCCCAAGTCTTAAGCCCAACCTCAAAACCCTAGCTCATCCATTACTCTATAAATACTACACTCCTCCATTCCTCAAACCCTAGCACACCATATCCATTAAAGAGCTTAAATCCATCTTCATTCAAGATCTAGAATCCTAAGTCCAAAAATATATCATTTTCATAGCAAAATACATCATTTCTTAGCTCATTTTCACAAGAAAATCAAGAACAAGTTCATTTTCTAGCTCATATCCCTTCCTCTTCACAAGTCCGGCCAGCTTTCCTTTCTGGCCAGATTCAGGCCAACCCTAGCTCCGGCGAGCCACCACGCACAGGCGCCCAGAACCACAGCCCCACCATTTTCACTAGCCAGCTTCAACTTTCGATTTTTATTTCGAGACCTTTTCTGAGGTAGATCGGCTGAAACTTAACTCCATGATGTTAGACATGAATTTTAGTTTATTTTAAAAATATGTTTTAGTATTTTTGAGCTGAATATGAATTTATATAATTTTATTAGGTTAAATAGATAAAAATTCGTAGAATATTCATGGCTGATTCAAAAATTATGATTCTAATTGGATAAATCATATTATGATGTCTTGAGACTTAAGTTAAATTGTCGTAAATTTTAGAGCTCGTTTGATACGCGAAAGGAGTTTGTAAATTTGGACCAATAATGCTCGATTTTTGTTAACCGAGTTAGAAGTTGAATATTGTTGTGATAAAATTCCCATAAATCATATGCATGCTGAGGCGTACGTGTCTAAAATTTCATAATTTGTAGATGCTGTTTGATGTGGATTAAAATTCTAGACTTTTCCCTCTTTTTGCCGTATTTTTAGAAATTGTTGCGGTTGGATTTTAGCAGAAGTTGTTTAATGTAAAATCCTTATAAATCATGTTGAATTTAGGGTTAAAGTTTTCGCTTAAAATGAGTTAGTTTGCTCGGAGAACCAAAACCTTAGTTTTATCCGGTACGGTTGACCGGGTAAATTTTGGATCTGAATTTAATTGCCCGAACCCTAGTACCGTTTAAACAACTTTAGACATCATAAGCTTATAAATGGGTCCCTGGGTGTCGGGATGTGGTCGGTCGACCGTTAGTCGCCGACGGAATCATAATCGAGCCTGAGAAGACTATCGAGGCCGTGTGCTGCAATCGGAATTATTCAATCAACATGTATTAACACGTATCCTTAACGCGATTCGACATTCCACGCAAGTATTGACCTTCGTCCGACCGTTGGAGACACCGAATGCGTGCACGTGCACCGAGTCCGAATCGAACCACCGAGTGCGTGCACGTGCACCGAGTTCGAGTCGAACCACCGAGTGCGTGCCCGTGCACCGAGCCCGTCCGACCTACCGTCAACGCGGCGTTTTCCGTTAGCCGTAGTCCAAGCACGCCTCTGCGTCAGTGATCGTGGCACCATTTAAAACTTGTGCTTCGACAAAGCTGTATCAGCCGTGTTCGTGTGTGCTCGTGAGTTGCTATGCCGAAGCTGGACTACAGTTTAGTCGAGCTGCACATAGCTAGCTAATAATCGGTCGGTTCCGAGTGAGCCGTCGGTTCAGTCCAGTCGAGCAGGTCTCGGCAGTTTGGACAGTTTGAGAAATTTCAGATATATTTAACATCCAGATATATTTCAGATTCAGGTATATTGAAGATTTCAATCAGATTTAAGATCCAGTCAGATAAAATCCAATTAGCTTAGAACTAGCCAGATTAGAATCCAGCCAGTTTAAGATTTCAATCCGATTATAGTTCCAGACTTAGAAATATTTCAGAGAATTCTAGCATGCCTCAAAGACAAAAATATTTTTTTAAAAAAAAATCAGCTCCCAAATTCTCAAAATGATTTTCAAAACTCAATGAGCGAACCTAGATAAGTCAGATAATATGATTTGAGTTCTTATTCAGAGCCCAAACACTTAGAATATTTTTCTCAATATTTTGTAGCTTGGGGAGAGTCGAGCCTCCACTTGCTACCAGCCAGTTCAGTTTATTCAGCATTTGCATTCGTCAGCTTCTAGGTGGGGACCACTGTACTGTGTATCTCAGCGCTTTTAATAATTTACCATATCTACGGTCTATATGTGATTAAATTGAAGGATCGAGATGGTTGAGTGATCCCGTCCTGGTCAATATTTTAATATTTCAGTTATGACTTGGATGTGTGGTAATTAGGGCTCGTCCTAAGTCTCGCGCTCAGACGCTGACCTTGTGTCTTTCCTGAGATTGGTGTAGCGCTCAGATGCTGATCTTGTGTCTTTCTTGAATTTCTATGGGAGGGGACCCCCAGAGTGTGCACACGAGTACAGGTTTACCATTAACCCATAGTTAGCCCAATTTATTTATATATTGCTGATTTCATGATATGTTATTAAATGTGTTGAATATTCAGTGCGGGTCCCTGCGGAACATCGTTGATTCCTTTATGCTCACGTCTCCCCACTAACCATTTTTCAGGTGACGGGGTCGAGCGCGGAGCGTGAGCCGATTAGTGGTGGTGGTCATAGCGAGGGTATTTTTGAGATAACATGTCATGTATCTATTTGAACATGTTCGAATTATCTATCTTTTGTCCTTGCATGCTTATTTGTGTTTGCTTTCTGAACTTGTAGTTGCTTCTGCATTTTAGACTTGTGTTTCAGATTCCATAACAGTGTTTCAGATTTAGTATTTAAGAATTTCAGACTGCATGTGTAATTCCAGTAATGTTTCATGGTCTTAATTCTAGAATAAATTTTTCTTGGCTACATTCATGATAGATTAAAGATTTCAGATTAAAGATTAAAGAGTTAGCTTAAAGTTGAGTAGCATCCCACAGTTATATTAAAGTGTTTTCGAAAAAGTTAAATTGAGTTTTTCGAAAATTAAATCAAAGTTTCCATTAACAGCGCGAAAAATTTACTTTGAATTTAGTATACCAACTGTAACACCCCGCCTAAACTTACTAAAATCAAAGTAAATTTTTTCCGCTATTAATGAAAACTTTGATTTAATTTTCAAAAACTTAATTTAACTTTTTCGAAAACACTTTAATCTAACTGCGGGATGCTACTCAACTTTAAGCTAACTCTTTAATTTTTAATCTATTATGCATGCAGCCAATAAAAATTCATTCTAGAATTAAGGTCATGAAACTTTACTGGAATTACACATACAGTCTGAAATTCTTAAATACTGAAATGCTAGTCTAAAATCTGAAACACTGTTCTGGAATCTGAAACACAAGTCTAAAATACGGAAGCAACTACAAGTTCAGAAAGCAAACACAAATAAGCATGCAACGACAAAAGACAGATAATTCAAACATGTTCAAATAGATACATGACATGTTATCTCAAAAATATCCTCGCTACGACGACCACCACTCATCGGCTCACGCTCCGCGCTCGACCCCGTCACCTGAAAAATGGTTAGTGGGGAGGCGTGAGCATAAAGGAATCAACGATGCTCCGCCGGGACCGACACTGAATATTCAACACATTTAATAACATATCATGAAATCAACATATATATAAATAAACTGGGCTAACGGTAAATCGGTACTTATGTGCACACTCTGGGGGTCCCTTCCCGCAGAAACTCAGGAAAGACACAAGATCAGCATCTGAGCGCTACAACAAACTCAAGAAAGAAGAAAGACACAAGGTCAGCGTCTGAGCACAAGACTTAGGACGGGCCTTAATCACCACACATCCAAGTCATAAATAAAATATTGAGCAAGACAGGATCACTTAATCACATATAGATCTCAGACATAGTAAATTATTAAAAGCGTTGAGATACACAGTACAGTGGTCCCCACCTGGAAGCTGGCAAATGCAAATGCTGAATAAATGAACTGGCTGGTCGCAAGTGGAGACTCGTTTCTCCTCAAGCTACAAAATATTAAGAAGAATATTCTAAGTGCTCGGACTCTGAATCTTACTCAAATTATTTTATTTGATCTGCCTAGGTTTGCTCACTGGGTTTTGAAAATCATTTTGAGAATTTACGAGCTGATTTTTTTAAAAATATTTTTGTCTTTGAGGCATGCTAGAGTTTTCTGAAATATTTTCTAAGTCTGAAACTATAATCGAACTGAAATCTTAAACTGGCTGGATTCTAATTTGGCTAGTTCTAAGCTAATTGAATTTTATCTGATTAAATCTTTAATCTAACTGAATCTGAAATATATCTGGATGTTAAATATATATGAGATTTCTCGAACCGGCTCGACTGGACTGAACTGGCGTCTTACTTGGAACCGACCGATTATTAGCTGGCTATGTGCTGTTCAGTTAAACTGTATTCCGGTTTCTGCGTAGCAACTCGGGTCGGCACGGACTCGACTGACACGGCTTAGCCGATGCACGGGTTTGAATCTGTGCCACGGTCACTGACGCAGGGGCGTGCTTGCACCACGGCTAACAGAAACGGCGCGTAGACGGTAGATCAGACGTACCGGGTGCATGGGCACGCCCTCGATGGTTTGACTCGGACTCGGTGCGCAGGCACGCCCTCGATGGTTTGACTCGGACTCGGTGCGCAGGCACGCACTCGGTGGTTCGTCTCCAACGGTTGGACAAGAGTCGAACACGTGTGCAAGATGACGATTCGTGTTAATACACGTCGGTTGGATAATTCCGCTCACTTCGAGGCACACGACCTCGATAGCCTTCTTAGGCTCAGTTATGGTCTTGTCGGCGACTAACGGCCGACTGACCACATCCCGACACCCAAGGACTTGTTTATAATCGTATGACGTCTAAAGTTATTTAAACGGTACTAGGGTTCGAGCGATTAAATTCAAATCCAAAATTTACCCGGTTATCCCTAGGGTTTTGGTTCTCCGAGTAAATTAACTCATTTTTAAAATAAACTAAAATTCATGTCTAACACCATGGAGTTGAGTTTCAGCCTTATACCTCAGATTTGGACTCAAACTAAAAATCGAAAAGATGAAGGTGCTAGGTGAGGGCTTGCGGGCTGTTGAAGCTGCAGATCGGGTCGGGCTCGTGCTGGGACGCGCGGATCTGCTGTTGGGAGATGCGCGGGCCTGGGCTGCGAGGCAAGGGCTTGGAGCGGGCGCTAAATTGATCAATTTGCAGACAAAACATACTCCTGTTTTGTGGAATAGTTACTCTTGGATCTTCATCTATTTCTACCATAGATAACCAAGACAAATATATTTGGATATAAAAACAAAATAATAATAATAAACAATTGCAGAATGAATATGAATTAATGCTCTCTATCACACGCGCACACAAAGAAAAAAGAAAAAACAATAGTCAGTCTTTCAACTGGCATATGCGCTTATGCTTTCATCATTTTGATTAACAACCAACAAACTCAGTTCAGTTTGTTGTTGTCAACACAAAAACTTTGACTGATTATTACAATGAATAAATTACAACCGACAATCTTGTTCTATTATGAAATGTCTTCTAAGAATTTCCTAAGCGACTAAGTCTCCTTCCCTGCTTTATCTAGAGTACAAATTCTATCTTCGATCGAGTTATACAAATTTGATTAGAAGATTTCCACAACATAATAGTTTAAAGTATACTTCAAATATCTAAATACCTAAATTTTGTGCAATACAATGTTCATTATTCGAGTTACTCAAAAATCTGCTTCGTTTACTCAATATGGAATCTTATGATGTGTAAAATTCGTTAAGTACATTAGATTGCCAAAACACTTGTGCAACGGGAGATTTATTGTACACATCATTCATTTTAACATTGTGATAAAACAATTCATTCCGAATATTGAGATATGCATTTTCCTATATATTTTACGAACATCTTTTTTAGTATTCATAATCAATTTATAATTGTTGCCCATGATTAGCATATCACTTACATAATAAATTTATAATTGTTGCTCATGATTAACATATTATCTACATAAAGAAATACTATTGGGATTATGCATTTTCCTATATATTTTAAGAGCATCTTTGTAGTATTCATAATAAATTTACGATTGGTGCCCATGATTAACGTATCATCTACATAAATACTTACGACAAAAGCCTTGTGAAAAACAATAAAGTAACAGTTAGCCAACTGTAATTTTTTTAACAAATGTGCGTACTTTCAATCTTATCCAATATACTCAAAAAACAATATAAACAAAAATATTCTATTTCATAAGTATGCATCTTTTATTTTAAAGATGATGTGTGACTCATCTAATAGTTAGGCACCTTGTTACAAAATTTTGTATAAAAAATTTAAATAGACAAAATCGTCACACTAGATTAAAAGAGCACTTGACATTATAGTCAGTTTTCTCATGCTTTTGCTTAGGGGTCGTTACAAAGTAAGATCAACAAATTTCTTATATGCTGATATTCAAGGCAAAAATTGGTTGAATGGAGCAAAGGAATTGTAATTTAAACCTGCAATGCAATTTTTCGAAACGTTTAACAGAAGCAGATCTCATACATGCTATGAACTAGCGTATAACTCAAAAATCAGTACCATTTCAAAAGGTCTTAAACTTAGAAAGGTAAAAAATGCATGAATGGTAATCTATCTGACGAGACATATTAAAAGTCACGGTTTTCTTGATTGGCTATCAGTCTTTCCACATATCAGCAAACTCATCAACTTCAAGAGGATTTTCCAGCTCGTGCATCTTCCTCCTTGTCTTGGCTTTGACTTTCTTGGCATATTTACCTGCCTTTTGCCTCTTCTCCAACGAGCGGATCTAATAGCATTAGCATTCAATAACATAAACATATAAGTAACATCTCGAGTTATATTGTCTGAAATACAGTTCCTTTCTTTTGCCTGAGCTCAAGATTTCTGTTACTCAAGATAATATTTAACTTTTTGATTTTTTAATTTATTTTACATTATTCAAGATTTTCATTTAGTAGTGGTAGCATTAGTCTTATTTTTTAATTATTACAGTGCTCTCTATTTATTTCATATTTCCAGAGTTAATATTAGGGGAAATTTTGATGGAAATACATTATGTATCAGTAAACATCTCATCACATGAATCAATTTAAAAAAAAAAATAAAAAAACTACTTTACATTCAATTTCACTTTCCCAAATAAAACGTGTAGCAAAAAAGGACAGAAAAACTTGTACCTGGTTAGGTGAAACATAAAATGGATTTTCATATAGTGTTGGCCCCCCAAAGCTGCCGCCAAATATCTTAATCGGGTTCAAACAGAATCGTGGACCAACCTATATACGACAATTTAGTTCAATCAAAACCATTTCCATATGTATACGTACATAAAGCTTAATGTTCCTTCACAGACCTCGATCAATGTCATTTTTTCTAAGTCTCCACGGTCTAGTTTCTGTGCTCCACCGCTATGGGGACATGATATCTGCTTAAACAAGAATTACCAGTGTAAATGTTTCTAGCATATAAATAACCTAAGAGACCTGTTGATAGCTGACATATTCAAAATATTATAAATATAAAAGGACCAAAAAAAGTTATCTATATCAGAAAAACTGACCACACACACACACACACATATACAGAGAGAGAGAAAGAGAGAGAGAGAGAGAGAACCTGATAATTCCGGAACCATATGTGGTCATCAGCAATTGAGAAGACGAATACGTGATCATGATAAGGTTTGGATTTCCTGTGATCCTTTGGAGTCCCAAAAATCTGAATAAAAGCAAGAAAATTAAATCTTCAATTAAAGTACACAAATTAAACTATGGCTGGAGTAGCAGAACACGTTAAAGTGTAGAAGTTTGACGAGAGATAACAATTGGTTAATCAACTGCAACTAAGAAAACCAGCAGTGGCAATGACTTAATTGCACCAAAATTTTTGACATCCGTTGCTTAACTCTCCAGTCAGGTCAATTACTAAAAAACTTTACAGTAGTATCATACAAGAACATCAAATTATTTCACAATATAGGCATATACTCGGGCATCTTCTGAAATCAGTATGTAACATGCAGCCTGTTCAACCACATCCAGAAAATAGTCCATGAAGGAAGATATTAGCAATGCTAATAACTTTACACTGATTTTTTTTTTTTAAGTAAAAAAATAGGGAAATAACTCCACATCAAAATCAGACCTGAGAAATCATCTCCTTCAGAAGCTGCCAGTGGGGGCTTTTATCAAAGTTGGATGAAAAGGTAAGGAGAGGACGTGAACCCTTAAGATGATTACCGGTAAGTTTCAATTCTTCCATTGTGTGCACTTGACCAAACACATAAGCAAAAACATATGTAATTAGGATACCTTTACAAAGAGGGACGAGTTATGATATAAAAATGACATATGAACCACCAAATTAAGTTTCCAAGTAAACCATTCATACCCGCATTAACTAGAAATTTGACAGATGGACCATTGGGGCACTTGGCCATCCACAAATAGAGATCTTTGCCTTTTCTACACTGAGAAAATGCATGTACCAGACGACAAGATCAACCATAGATCATCTTTTTTTTTTTTTTTTTTTTNTTTATATTATCAACATTGGATCAATAAAATAAGAAACTCTTATGCAAACCTCAAAAAACAAACAAGAAGAGCAGCTCTTGAGCTCGACAAGCTCATTCAGTGCAGCGCCTTTACTCTCCTTGGACTCCACCTTGTTGTCTTTCTTACTATGAGGCAAAAGCTCAACCAAGTTCAACATCAGGTGCCGATACCTAAAACATCACAATTCAATAATGCGAAGCACAGGGATGCCTGAGCAAATTTCATCTGACATAAACCAACCCACGAAATACTGCTTAAAATCATTCGGAAAAAACCTTTTAAACTTTTTTAATTCACCGGCGGAGGTAAAAGAAATAAAAAATAAAACCTGTAACTGATGCGGCGAGAGCAAGTGACCAAGACTTTCTCTTTATTCCGAAAAATCACATGGTGACTTTCACTTCCATTTTTATCATTCACATTGGTTTTAAAGCCAAAAAGGGTTCTTTTCGGCCTTTCTGGCGCGCTTTCATTGTTCTTCGTATTGTCTGTAGCTTCCGCTTCAATGTGCTTTCGCTTCTTCCCCATTCGAATGCGAAAAATAAAAAAATCTGAGAAGAAGCAAAGAACAAAACTGAGAAATATACAGGAAAAATCGTAAATTCGGTATCAATAAAGCTTAATTTCTACATAACCTGTTGTGCGGGAGCTGAACGAAGAAAAGAGTCGAGGTGACGGGACCAAAACCCTAAAACCCTATTTTAGGGCGGGGGATTTGGAGCTAGTTTGGGATACGATTGAAGGGCTGTGTGTATTGGGCCTCAACTTTGTAATATCTCACAACATACTTTATCGAAATGGCCCAGCGCCCCTCATATTCGACCAATTTAGGGGTGATTGTTTGTGAATTCAATTAGTTTTTAATTAGTTTTTTTAATTATAATTAATTTTGAAAAAAATTAGTATAATTAGTTGTTAGTAAATATATTAAAATAATATTTAAAATTATTGATGTCGAAAATCGGACGATCAACCGTTAAAAATGAACCGAATTTCTTGTATGGAAAAAATGAATAATATAAAAAAATGAGTGTTTTTTTATTAGAACTCTTCTCCTTTTTGTTGTTGGGAAGAAAAGAAAAAGTGAATTAGAATCCCTCTCTTCTCTTTATCTCATATATATACATGCCCCACTATTTTAATTGCAAGTGGATTATTAAATAAATAAAAGCTAGTACACTATTATTTAATGGGAGATAATCGTTGTTGGACCCACTTATGACTTTTTACGGTTTCAATTGACGTTCGTCTTCTCGGCAATTGTCGCGTTTACCGAAGGCGGCTTCTTCATGATATGTGGGTCATCTGATTACTTTGAACTATGTCTGACTTGGCAGCGGGTTGACTCGACATTGAGGGATCCGATCGGCTTTCGGGTGATTAGTCTTGAGAAGCTGTTTGTATATTTGTTTATTACGTATTTTCGGTTCCTTGGTTATCGGGCCGTATTTTATTATTTCGTTTATCATTTAATTAATCGGAGCCAAATTTCGTATCAACAAAAATAAAATATTAAAGTTGTTATGATGTAAAAGTAGGAGAAAAATGATTGGAAATGATAGTTAGTTAAAATTAGGTGAGTGGATGAATAGTGAATTAAAGTTGATGTGATGTGTAAGAATGATTGGTTGAATGATTGTTTGATATTATTTAATTATATTGATAATAATGGAGATAGTGGCGTTGGGTTAAAATAGAGTTAAACTTGAGTTTTAATTGATTTTTTTTTTAGTTGGATTGATAAACAATCACCGCCTTACATACTTATATTCTATACCTATGCATATCCCGATGCACCGTAAACTAATATTAAAATTATTTTTCAAAATTAAATATTGAACTAAACAAAAGTAATATTTTAAAATTAAACGTTGGACTAAACGATTATATTAAGTTATTTTTAAAATTAAATGTTAGACTAAACCAACATAGTAAGCCCATTCTATATATGTAAGAACTACTAATTACGAAGCACTAAACCTCATAGGTTTTTCGTAATTCACTTAGAAATGGTCTCTTAGCCTCAACTCAAACTTTTATGCATACAACAGTAAAGAAAAGTGAGGAAAACAAAAAAGTATTTCGCTTTCGTTATAACAATATTTCTCATCTCTATCATAGAAATAAATTCAGTATGTAAACTCAATGCGTATATATCTTCTGCTTCATCCCCTCACCACCAATTAATCTTTATACCAATGTCGACAATAAATTTCATCCTACTCGTGCACCCACACTGGCTTTTTAACCGCTGGAGCAACACATACCTCTCATTGGAGTCCCAAATCCAACATGCAAAAGCACAAACCAGNAAAAAAAAAAAAAAAAAAAAGAAAAAAAAAAACTCACTAATTTTACACACCCTCTGAATATCTGTACAAATTTTGCTAACCTGGGTTTAGGACTCCTAAAACAGCTTTTCAAATCCGCAAGGGTGTCCCGAAATTCTGGAATGTCTTGATTTCACCTTTAAGGCCTGCAGTTACTATAACCATACCCCACGCAGACCTGTTCTGATACAACCCATTTGAAAAGTCCACACTAACTCGAGGACTTCCGTTCTTAGCAGTAGCCGAGAGAAGTTTCTCCTCAGGCCATGTCATGGAGATTTTATCAAAAAAGTAGCCGTTTGAGGCACAAGATAAATGTCCATTGAGAGTGCTATTACCTTCGCTGCAGTTGGTCTCCCCAGCTGGTGTAGTGGGATGGTATTCATTATAATGATAATAATTACCATTTTGTCCTCCAACAGGACAATCCTGGAGGGCCCACTTGTCAGACGAGCCAGCTGGCCAAGGGATTGCCACAGATACATCTTGACAGTGGAAAAACTCATAAGATTGAGTCACCGTCACACCATTGGTTCTGTTTGGCTGGGACTCGGCTTCATGTCTCCATATGTAAACATATGAGTCCTCACTTGCAGAGACTGCGTATTTTCCGTTGGAAGTGAGGGAGGCTGATATTTGGCTGTTCGCGTTACGAAACCCTGTAAAGGTTTCAACATTAGTTTCGCAGTGTATTAACGGCAAATTTGTATTTTTAGTCCGGCTGGACGACGGCAAATTTGCATTTTTAGTCCGGCTGGTTTATCGTCGTAGCAATTTTAGTCCCAAGATCCTAACATTTCGCCTTTTGGTCCTGCAATTTAATATTTTACTGCAGTTTCACTCCTCAAAGGACTGAAATCGCAACAAAATCCCAATTTATATTTTTTGGATGGATTTTTGATTCGCAAATTAAGTCCTGTAATTTAAAATTTTATTTCAACAATCCTGTAATTTAATTTTTTGTTGCAATTTTAGTCCTCAAAGGACTGATTGCAGCAAAACATTAAATCACAGGACCAAAAAGCGAAAAGTTCGAACCTTGGGAGTAAAATGGCTATGACGTTAAACCAACAGGACTAAAAATGCATTTTTGCCTATAATAACGTTGAACCATACAAGCAAGGTAACTAGGGTTAGCTTAAAGTCAATGTTCAAACTGAACTCCATTTACTGAATGCACCATATTAGTCTAGGTCACTCGATCTCCACAAATGGATCAAACAAGTTAGACTTCTAACTATTTACATTGCATATACACCTTTGAACTTGTGAACAAGATCGACACCATCTATGACTCGAATTCTGGAATCTGCAGAAGTCACAAGCACTTCTGATGTACTTCCAGGTGCAAACTGAGCAACAAAAAACAATCTACAATGATAAGAGAAAGTAGAACAAGGCTTCTATTCAGAAGAATAACTGTGGGAAAGACAAGATAATTGGCGGGTGAAATGAATTACCTGAAGACCAGTTATTTTCTTCTGATGAGATTTCTTTCTCCTATTCTGCAGATTGATCTGGCTTTTCCGGAGCAATTTATTTTCTGGAATATAACAGAGGGAGGCATAAAATACTAACTTGAAACACTCAAACTTTTTATTGTCGACAATACTATCCTACACACCTGATATGCTGTACAAACGACAACTACCCTTGTACGAACCAACTATTGCCCCCTGCCAAATGTTTATCAAACCACATAGTTGAGAATAAGCTACGGCATATAAATAAAGTTACAAAAACAAATTTGCAATTAATATGCGTTGACTATATTATATTAAAAGTAATCATATGACCCCAGAAACATGCAATTGGTTGCTGACCTGTCCATCTGGTGTGTAGCAAGCTGCAGTGACCATTTCATGCAAATCATTCCAATCAACGACTTGGCGATCAGGAATGCTCCATATCCGCACCTTGGCATCTAGAGATCCACTGATGAAATATCTATCATCAACTGGATTAAACTGGATGCACGTTACTGCACCATTGGCAAATCCAGAAACATATTAGTAGATTAATCGTATATGAAACACACAAATAATACTATTTAGAACAATAAAGGACCAAAGGACGTTAAATTAGGTCATGAACTAAAGCTATCACCAAGTGTAAGAAAGTACGTCTTCACGACGTGGCACTTCCTTTCAATTGCCAGGAAAAGAATCATACTAACAAATTAATGGAAAACATTAGTAATTACCATAATCACTGTGTGAAAAGATCTTTAAACAAGACTTGCTAGACAGATCCCAGAGGCGCACAGTTTTATCCATTGATGATGAAAGTAGTTGCTGAAGATTACAAAATGTGAGTGATTGTCCAAAGTAATTGACTGGAATAATACAAATAACAAACTCATCAAAATGAATGCACATGATTAGAGAAACTGCTTTCGTAACAAAACAGAGTTAATTGGCATTGTTACTATATTTACTAAAATAAATGTTGCGAAAGCCAAACGAAAGTATACAGCCCTATACACAGCTAATCATTTGATTTAGCAGTATGCCCTACACTTGTGGTGTGGAGGTTACATACAAAAGCAGAAAACTTTTATAGACATAAAAAAACAGCAAAATAAGGAAAAAGAAAAAGAGCATAGAGTAATCTAATAGGAGGGGAAACATCAGTGGGTCTTAACTATTATAAAAAATCAACATATAATGCAACTCAAGTTTATACAGTTCAAAATAAGACATCAACTCTTTCATCAGAACGTAATACTGATGGCGTAACCATGCGAAAAATTAAAAGAGAAGATCTGACTTAACCTGAGACTTGGACCATGAGATATCCAGCACATCATCTAAATGCCCGTGAAACGAACACAGAGGTTTTTCTGAAAGGCCAAATATGGTCTCGGGTACCAAAATCTGTTCAAAGCTCACGGATTTCCTGCCTATGGACAATCTCCTCCCCCTCTTCTTTTTCTCCGAGTGTGCATCCAAATTCGGTGACATCGATGATGGCACGGACAACCCATTTCCTAGAAACAAAAGATTGAAATTCCCATCTTCCAATTTATGGAAAAAGAAATCCTCCTTCCTTTCAGTCTCCACAACCTGCCACACTTGAATCACACGGTCCTCACCGGCACTGGCCAGATATTTCCCGTCCAAACTAAACTGAATCGCCCAAATCGACCCCTTGTGGGCCTGTATTTCCTGGCTCTTGTAAAGTGCCGTAAGCTCTTTAACCGGCTTACCATAATTCTTGACCCTAATTCTCTCAGGCCCATGAAAGGAAACATCCTGGCTATCATCAGTGGCAGAACTCGACCTTCTCCCGCCTTTCTCAGACGAGGTGTCCCTCTCATCACTACTCCTTCTCTCCTTGTGACCAGTGACTGAATTTGCCACATTTTTCATACTCCTCAGCCAATTACTCCTCTTCTTCGACTTAGACACATCACAATCCGCATTTGAATTCAAGCCATCCTTGTCCCTATCCTCGAAATTCTGTCTCCTCATCAGCTCTTGCACGATTGGTGAAGTCCCGACAAACATCTCAGACGAGAGCTCCTCAGTCGTCAAGTGACGCCCGGTTCTCACTTCCTTTATCTTTTTCCAAGTCCCGTCTTCCCTCGTCTCCTTCACCACAAACTCTTTCCCATTGTCGAGATTCTTTATCTTACACATTCTATTAACATTCTCAACCCCATTACACTCCAGGCTCCAACAAAGCTCTTCATCACTTGCACGAGGTGGGTGTGCATCACTAAAGCTCCGGTTATGGTTGGAACCATCGATATTAGACTTCACTTTGGGGGGTTTATAGGGAGAGCCTGTACAGTTCCTCTTATCATCATTATTTACGTCAACAGCAACTTCACCTGAAGCCGAAACATCTTGAAAACTCCTGCGTGATTCACAGCCCCCATCTGATTTGGACCGGACCATCCCAAAAGCTCTACCATTACAATTATTGCTATCATCACAACCATTGACGCAATTACTAGTGCAATCGAGGGTTTTCGAATAACTGCTATTTGTGCTGTAAAATGTATCCTCTGAGAGGGAGAAGGAAAGGGAGGGGCGATGGCGGAGGAGGGAAGGGTCACCAGTGAGGCCCATCCGGCGGAGGAGGCGGAGCCGCCGCTCCTCGACAGAAGACGGCTGGGAAACCCAAACGTCGTAGTTCCGGGAGACGCCGAGGGGGAATTTGGGCACGGTCCGGGTGAAATCGGAAGTGCATTCATCGTCGGAGTTTGAGGGGGAGCAAGAGCAGGAAGTGTTGGAAGAAGAGAGGAGACGGTCGAGAGAGTCGTGAAAGCGCTCATTGTCTTCCTCTTCTCCGGCTCTGCTCATTGTCTGCCACCTGCCATGGAAATCCGGTTCACAAAGACCGATCCATAGCAAGCTGGGGGCCCGGCTCAATTTATCAGGCGCGAATCTTCTACTGTCGGCTGAAGTGTATAAACGTATGCAAGGCAAGGCAACTGTGGGAGATTGTGTGGGGAGAGATCCAACTCTGTCTATTTGGAACAAAACTCAGATCCGGCGAGTGATGAATTTGAGAGAGAGAGAGGCCTTTGTGCAGTCGTGTGTTGGCAGGTTGAAGGTGCTTTAATTTTGTTTGGTTTGAGCTATTATTATGAGTTTGGAATACATATAAATATATTTGCATTTTTTTTAAAAAATAATAATAAATGGGAATATGGTGCAATTAGATACATTTTTATTTTTAAGAAAACTTTTTATTGGGGACAAAAGAAATAGTGGAAGAATTAAAAGTTGGAATATAGTAAAAAAATAGGAAAACGATGATTAATTAATAGTTATAAATATGTATGTTGGTGAATATTAAATTTTATAAGAAAATATGTAATAATAATTATCTATTAATTCAAAAGTTGAATTGGAAAAATTAAGGATATAGAAAATAACAGTGACAGTAGTATTTTTTTTAATTAAAGAAAATCACCAATTAAAAGGTACATTAATAACTATAGGGGAAGGTCCACTTTTGGTCCTCCATGTTTAGGGGGTATCCAGACTGAGTCCCTATTATGTTTTGGTGCCCAATTTTAGTCCTTAAAACAAAAAAATGTAGTCCCTATAATTGGGAAAAATCCACTTTTAGTCCTTCATGTTTAGGGATATCCAGACTTAATCCCTATTATGTTTTGATGCCCAATTTTAGTCCTTAAAAAAAAATGTAGTCCCTTTACCTCAATTTATGTGAATTAACGGTCCATTTTTTCTCGACCGTTATGTTCTTTATTTTTTTAAAATTTGTTGACTAATGTTAACTTTGACCAAAGAAAAATAAAAGAAAATTAAATGCTGAAAAAGTAAAATAAAAGACAGAAATAGTGAACTGCAGTGAAACGTAAAAAAAAAAAAAAAAAACCCTAACCGCCTAGGGATTAAATCCGATCAAATGGATGGAAATGGTGTGGTATTTTGTAGATGTGAGCTGGTTGCAAAGTTGACTACATGCTGGAAGGATGATAATCTCGGGAGAAGATTCTTGAGTTGCCCTCTATATCCTGTAAGTACTTTCCGTGAACTTCAATTGGAATATGATAAGAAATGGTTAAAAAACAGAGGGTTGTAAGGTGCAATTTTTTTCGATGGCATGACCCGGAAATGGGTGCAAGAGCATTAGCTGTGATTCCAGGCTTGCTCCGCAGCGCAAATGCTAGGGAAATAGAAATCAGACGAGCAAAAATTTTAATTTAATTTAGTGTAATATCTTGCTTTAGTTTAATTTTTTATTAATATATTTTCAGCATTTAAATTTTCTTTTATTTATCTTTGGTCAAAGTTGACATTAATCAACAAATTTTAACAAAAATAAAGAACATCACAGTCGAGCAAAAATGGACCGTTAATTCACAGAAATTGAGGTAAAGGGACTATATTTTTTTGTTTTAAGGACTAAAATTGGGCACCAAAACATAATAGGGACTCATTTTTTTGTTTTAAGGACTAAAATTGGGCACCAAAACATAATAGGGACTCAGTCTGGATACCCCCTAAACATGGAGGACCAAAAGTGGACTTTACCCATAACTATATCCCAGTTTGGATTTAAATATAATTGTTTTGGTAGAGTATTTTTTTTTTTGACATACGATTCCCAACTCATTCATTGGAGATAATTGTAAATCCCCTCCATGCAAGCGCTTTTTATTAAAATTTATATTAACATATTAATCATCCAAATGATGTAACAGAACATAAAATTTAGTTAACAATATTTTCTTCGAACAATGTGTGGCCGCGTCATTTTATTGGATTGTAGTTTATGTTTTACGTTGGTTTCAAATGCGAGATTTACTAAAAGATAGTATCAAATGGTCTCCATAAAGAGCTCCTTTGTTGGGCATGTGGTCCATGTCCTTGATCCATCACTGCCTAGATCTCAAAGATCTATTTTACTTTTTTGCGTATTAGCTTACTTTTTTTTATTAGGGATTGAAATCCAGAACGAAATGAATTTATTGTGTGCAGTTGGATCAAATGCAGCGTATAGTCAGTGCCAACAATTTAACGATTGGTACATATTTCATTTTGAAATATTAATATTTCTCATTTCACTAATTCATAAGTGAATTTTGAGTTTACAATTGATAGTTTACATCTTATGGCATGATTGGTATGATGGAATAAGATTTCGTAGGAATGAAATGATTATGGAATGGAATGAAACAAGTTTTGTCATTGATGCGTTTGGTATGCAGAAGGAATAATACCTAAATGGAATAACATTATAATTTTTTTATTATAAAATAATTAAATGTTTTTAATAATATATATTTTTATTTTTTAATTCAACAATAAATAAAAGTAAGTTTTCATTTTTTTTTTGAATTTTATTTTTTAAAATAATATATTTTAATAATTTATAAAAATAAAAAGTAATATATTTTTAATAATATATATTTTTAATATTTTTTATAATATATTTTTAAAAGTAATATATTTTAATATATAAAAAATAATATATTTTTAAATTATATATAAATGCTTTTTTTGGTTTTATTTTATATAAGTATTTATTATCTAATTAAACAATAAATAAAAGTAAGTTTTCAAGTTTTTATTTGAATTTTAATTTTTAAAATAATTTTATGTAATATATTTTAATCATGATTTATAATATATATCTTATATTTATTTTTTATTATTATTTGTTAATTTTAATTTTTGAAAAATTGATTCCTACACTCATGGGAATGAGAAAAATCTTTCATTAGCTATGAAATGGCTAATCCCATGGAGATGAGTTTTATCATTCCCATTGGATTGGTCATTTTTTTCCAAAAAATATACCAATCATGGGATAAGGCCTGAGTAAGGGAATGATCATTCTATTCCCATGTCATTCCTTCCTATCAATCATGCCATTATAGTTTAAAAGGTAGCTGATATGATAAAGAGTGTGTTGATATGATAAAGAGTGTGTTTGGTAAGCATCATAAACTATCTTATATTTTATTCGATTAGCTTACAAGCTTTCTGTATATGATTAACCTTGGTTTGAAAAAATGATTTTCTTAAAAGTGGTTAATTGCTAAATAAACCTTAACCTTTTTACGTTTGACAATTTTATCCCAATCTTTGGGTAATTGCAATATAATCTTGACCTCAACTTACTTATTGCAAGACGAACCTTAAACCGGTCGAACCTTCAAAAACCGCTAGCGTATCCGGCAGTTTATATCGACGTGGTATTAATGGTTTGCTGCGTGGATATACTTTAAATACGTAGAAATTTCACCTTTTTACGTGGCATGGCATAAGAACCCGTGTCAATGGAAGACTTCAACACAAAATCGATTCAAAAGACCCTAAAATCACTCTGCACCAAAATCTCTAAAATCTCTTTGCACTTTCCGCACAACAAAAATCGAACCTACGTATGAAATCTTCTCTCTGCACCAAGATTCCGCGGCGTGGTCGTCTCAATTTCATGAGAGTTTGAGTTCTTGCGTTCGACTTTTTATTTAAAAATCGAATTTATTTAGCCCAAGTATCGGTTTTATTTTTAAGACGAAATCGAGCTTGAAAAAAATTGGAATTTTGTTTAAGTCGGGCCGAGTCTCGACCCGAACAATTATCCACACGGCCCAAATTTTATTCGAGTCGGTCCATTAGCACGGCCCATCCATTTTCGAGCGGCCCAATAACAAAATCAAGCCCCTCATTTTTATTTATTCGACCCAAGTAGCATTTTATTATTAAGCCCAAGTCCCATTATATTTTATTTAGTCCAATCATTATATTAATGTTGACCAAGTCAAGTTTCATATTATATAGTCCAATTTCATTTTCTAAGTCTTGAATTTTTAATGTTGACTAGTCTACACAATTTGAATTCAAGCAAGACAATATGAGCATTAAATGCTCCCAACTACCACTCCTCAAAACCCTAATCTCTCACCACTATATATACACCATTAGCCCACCATTTCATTTCCTCTTCAAATTTCCTAAGCACTCTAGAAAATAAGCCTAAGTCACAAAAAAGAAAAATCTCTTAGCCTTAGTATATACATCGACCCTAATCAACGGAGCCCTAGCCGAGCCTTGACCGCCGCCGGCGAGCCACAACCCCTAGCCCGAGCTTCACGCCCAATTATTGTCCACCGAGCCCCTCGCACGCCCCTGGTCCAGTACAGCTTGTCCCTAGCGCCCAGCAACACGCTCCAAGCCCCAACAGCTCGAGCCCCTGCGCGCAGCTCGTTCCTAGCGCCACTCCGCGCCTAGGCTGCCTTCCTAGCGCTGTCTGTACGCCCGCGCAGCCAGCCACAACATGCCTCGCTCCTCGCCGCAGCAGATCCGCACGCCCCTATCGTACGCCCACACGCCAGCGCCCTCCTGCCAGTGCCAGCGGCCAGATCCAACAGCTGCCTAGCTCCTCTGGCCTTAGTTAACTTTGATTTTTCATTTTCGTGTTCTAAAGGGTAAAATGGCTTGAACCCCGACTCCATTGGCTTAGAAAAGTATTTTAGAGTATTTTAGAATTGGTGTAGCATGAATATGAGTGAGGAATGAATAGATCTAGATTTTATGAGTTTAAAGGAATGATTTTTATATCTTGAGTTCTAGATTTGATAAAATTGTGATTCCAACTCCATAAATCTTATAAAATTGTCTTGAGGCTGAGGTTAAAATTTAGAAATTTTTGGAGACCTTGCTATGTGAACCGAAATTGTAGATCTATATCTATAATGACCGATTTTAGTTGATTGAGTTAGAAACTTTATTTTTTTGTGATAGTTTAACCAAAAATCATGTATATGTTGAGGAGGCTATGGTTAAAATTTCAATTTTTGGAGATCTTTTGATATAGTTTAAAAATTGGGACTTCAGCCTTGATTTGCTGTATTTTTATAAATTGATTTGGTTGAGGTTTAGCTGAAGTTGTTAGATCTAAAATCCTTATAAATTATGTTGAACTTAGGGTTAAAGTTTCGCTTAAAATGAGTTAGGTAACTCGAAAAATAGAACCCTAGTTTTACCCGTTTCCTAACACCGAGTAATTTTTAGATTCGGGCGAAATTCACCAAACTCTAGTAGCATATATATGACTTTAGATGTCACAGGAATATTGATGAGTCCTTGGGTTGTCGGAGATGTGGTCGGCCGGCTGGCGAGTTGCCTACGAGACCACAACCGAGCCTAAGAAGGCCACCGAGGCCGTGTGCCTCGTAGCGAGCATAGTCAACCAACCGGAGTGCACTAGAACACATCCACAACGCGTATCGATATCCTACACACGTCCCACTCTCGTCCTACCATTTAGAGCCGAGCCACCGAGTGCATGCCTGTCCACCTAGTAAGATCAGAGATTAAGATTCTAGTTTTTCAGATTGAGCTTAATACTTAGAATATTTTGCTCAAATATTTTTGTTGTTTGAGGAGAGTCGAGCCTCCACCAACTAGTCATCTGTTCAGCATTTGCCTTTCATCAGCTATCAGGTGAGGACCCCGTACTTGGTGCTACATTTTCTATAATCGCATTATCCTAGCTGAGGTATGTATGTAAGAGTTAGTTTGCATGAATAGGGGCAATAACCTAGCAAGTAGGTCCTTTCTAACTAAGTGATCCAAACACTAGTTAAGATGAGATAAGAACTCTAGTGAAGCTTTGAGTTAAGTGAATTAAGAACCTTAGTGCAGCTTTGAGTTAAGTGGTAATTCTAGAATATTTCTTCCCCAAGGGGCATTGACCTAGAGATAGGTTTCATTATAACCAAGTGCTTCGAATTCCAGTTAGAATCAAGGACTCTAGTACAACTCTGAGTTAAGCTCCAACTTTAGAAGTGCATAAGAGTTAGATTTGCCTAAGCATGAGCAATGACCTACATATTAGGTCTTATAGTTGGTTATTGCAAGCGTGAAGGCCAAGTGTCCTTCTCGTAAGTTGAGCAGCAGTTATAGACAGTCAGTTGAGCAGGAGTTATAGACAGTCCGTTGAGCAGCAATTATAGACAGTAAGTTGAACAACAGTTATAGACAGTAAGTTAAGCAGTAGTTATAGACAATTTACTTATTTATATGCCTATGGTGATGATTTATCATGTTAGATGTTGTGTTGTGTTTATCGTATTGGATGTATGTTTAGTTCGCGATGCATTAGTATAATGATTATCATCATATCGTTTATGCCAAACCTAGTAGGTACTTGCATATATACTGATGTCATGATATGTTATTACATTAGATGTGTATTTAGTGCCGGTTCCGACAGAGCACATGGATTTTTATGTTCACGCCTCCCACTAACCATTTTCAGGCGACGGAGTCCCGCGTGGCGTGTGAGCTGGATATGTGGTGCTGGTCAAAACTTAAGGACACCTTGAGAAAACATGTCATGTAGTATATTTGAACATGTTTGGATTAAGTATGTATGTTTGTGATTTCGAACTTGTATTTGCATCTGCATTTCAGACTTATATTTCAGATTTTAGACTTTTAGATTATGCATGTTTAAATCCAGTATTCTTCATGGGGCCTCATTATAGTAATGAATTTTACTTGGTCGCATGCGTAATAGTTTGAAGAGATAAAGAGATATAGTTAGCAGTGAGTAGCATCCTGCAAGATAAAGAGTTTTTCGAAAAAGTTAATATGAGTTTTCGAAAATTAAATGAGTGTTTTCAAACTATATAGCTCGAAAAATTTACTCTTATTTTAGTAATAGTAAGCGGGGTGTTACAGATTGGGTCAAAGTTGATTAGTAACATGCTGTGATCAGATGAGGTTCTTAGAATGTATTCCACAGAGGCATTAGGATGGTCAGCAAGCTAGTCAACTGAACTGAATGCTCTGTCCGACAATTCCTCATCTGCTCTATTGTTAGCCCAAGTGAAGTTGTAGCCTAGCCACTTAAGTTCCAGAATTCACATATCAAAGATGAAAGAATTAAAACTCACTAGACTCTAGGGTGATCTGAATATCCCTCCTTTCTTCTCCTCACGACTGTATAAGTCATTCCAGTCATCTGCACACAGCCAAGAGTTTCCCCATTTTGGTTGCATATCTTTTAACAATTCCTATTGATGATGTCTGATGCTTTTAACTGAGTTCATGTATACTAGGATTAGCCAGCTAGGTTTGGATGAGTGCAATGAGGAGAACTCAACCTCCATACAAAATTCATGACACAGAAGCTGATGGATAACCATGTCTTTCCCCCACAGCAAAAGTAAACCCCCACCTGAACCCATTGGGTTAACAACTTTCCATCTATCCCCCACCTTTAAGCTTAAACAAACAGTATTTACAAAGTCAAGATTCTTTTTAGTTTCTGAAATAAAAACAAAGTCTGGGTAGTGGGTCCTCATGGACTCCTTGAACTGGGGAATTGTAGAGGGTCCACCCAAACCTCTACAATTCCACACCAGCACTCTCATTGGTCACTTGTTGGCCCTTTAAGGTTGGCTAACAAAACCTTTCTTGAGTAAAGTTTCAGTTTCTTACCTCCTAGAGAAACAGGTTCAATCTCTTGAGATGCTCCACCATTCTATGATCTTTCTCTCTTCTGGTTTGTGGTAGGTGTACCAGGCTTTTTGTTAGCCATAGAACTCTGCAACCTACTTTTTTAGGTGGTTGTTTCTTTCCATTTCTTAGTATTGCGGATTGGTTTGACTTTCTTAGACTAGATACTCCCCTTATCTACCTTCATAAAGGTTGTACTATCTTCTTTGCTGATTTCTGGCACTTCTATAACAGACAAAACCATTTCTTTGCCCTTGGAATGCTGTAGAGTCTCAGTATCAGGAGAAGAAGTTGGCTGTGGGCATATTCTAGTAGATCTGAATGTATCTGGAGTGTCTGTGCCTTTTTGGCATTTCGGGATGAGCTGTGATGGAAACTTCAACTAGGCTACTAGAATTAATGAGAATGCCCTTGTTATGCTTTCCTGAGGATGCTGCTCAGTTCTTGGTGCTGTAGCTGAAGTGTTGGGTTTAATTTGCTGAATTGTGCTCTTAGAGCCCATAGAGCCTGAGTGGGTGTGTTGTTGAAATGAAGGGCTTTGGGTCCTTCTCCTACCTTGAGCCACTCACCATACGGTCCATCTTGTAAGGAGTTACTAGCACATCCTCTAACTTTTTCTTGCAGTCCTTGTCTAAGTGACCCAAAGTACCACAATAATATCAAAGTTTAACTAACTTCTCATACGTGAAATTAACTTTGATGATTTGATCCCCCAGCCTGACATTAGCACATCAAGAGGGGCTCTTTAACATTGATAGCAGCTAGGATCCGTATCACCCTGCCTCCCCTTATATCACCAGCTTTAGAAATAGTAACATTCTTAGCCCCCTTAAATAGTTTACAAATCTTAAGACCAACTTCTGCAGATTGCCTATGCAATGGAATATTGAATATGTTAACCTAAAGATGAAGGATATCAAAGCAAGAATTGGAGCAACTGATGTTATCTTGCCATTCTTGCAGGATCAAATATTGATTGTCAAATATCCAGCTAGAACCAGAAGCTACCTTTTTGAGGTCCTCGCCATTCTCGAATATAAACTGAAAGAAGTTGTTGCGTAGCTCTGATTTCAACTGACCCTTGAATCATCCAAATGTGTCCCATGGTTCTTTTATGTCCAAAGAGACTAGCCCTCCTATCACCTACTATCTTACCAAACAAGCTTCTTTGACATTTGATGGGTCTTCTTCTAGATCTGAAGAGAATCGGTGGATTTGAGCTCAGATCTGCTTGAACCGCCTCTGAATCGTTGCTAGACCGCTAGAATACCTGCAAAAACTCACGCCGGAGGTGTTTCCAGCATAGAGCCTCCGACGCTCAAGTCAGTATGAGAGTGATGAAGGGATGCTGCGCAGTAGCTATGAGGGAGAGTGGAGAATGAATGAGAGTTAGGGTTTGGGGTTACCTCTCCTCCTTTATATAGGAGTGAACATTTACCTGAAGTACCTGAAATACCTCGGTCGGCTGACCTATAAGGTCTAAATTGCCCCGGTCGATTCGTCTCCCCTTGCTGTTGAGTCATCACAAGATTCCTTCTTATCCTATAGAGAATGTATAGTCTTGAGTATGTTACAAGTGTATCGAGTCATTAGTATATCTCACGTCTCGAGGTATAAAGAGTCGACATCGAGCATGGACGAGTTGACTTCTGGATCTTTTGGTTATTCGGAGACTACGCCTTCACTGGTCTTCTCAAATAGATGTCGACTTCCTCGCAGTCGACTATCATAAAGTCGACTTCTTCGAGTCGACTTGCATGATACCTGCATCATCCTCATCATTCATCCTGTGAAGAGTCGACTTTGGAAGAGTCGACCTGAGCATCTCGACATACTCATGTCGACATATAAGTGGTTCGGATGATTCTCCGGTCGAGTAGGGAACCTCTGGACCGGAACCTCTCTATGTGGCTATAGCTTCTAGTCCCCCCCCAAAAAATACTCTAAGCAGTCTACTGCTTAAGAGTAAATTTGGTGACGAGTGGCTGAACGTCCCGTCTTCCTGCAATATCTACTTGCACCTGCTGCTGCGACGACTCGTCTCGTCTGTCGATTTGGGAACACCTCTGTTCCTTATGATTGCTTTTTCGGATAAATCTGACATTGAAAATTCTGAAGTGACGCGCGTCACTTCAACCGCCGACCCTTCGAATTCCGCGCTTCATCAGGATCATTGGTTCTCTTATTGATCCAACGGTTAGCATCAGTTACCTTTTTGTATAAATATCCTTCATTCTCTTCTAATCCTTTCTTTTTACGCTCTCCAACTTCTTTGATTCTCAAGCTTTTCTCGATTCTCCGGCAGTTCTCGCGCTTCAGTTTTACAGGCGTTCTTCTTTTCCGGCGGATTTTAAGCTTCTTCAGAATCCAATCCAGCAAGCCACCATGAGTAAGTTCCCTACTTTCTCTTACTTTTCAATTTTCGTTGGTTTTTTTTCTTCTTTGGTTTTTCTGGCTTTTTCGGACCGGGAGTTCATGTGTGTTCTTCATGTTCTACAAGGATTTCTTATGGACTTTGTGTTGGATCTTTTGACGCACATGCCCTACTCGGATTTGTTGTTTTCAACTTACTAGTTGTCGACTTCTGACGCGTAGTCGACTTTCGTCTGTCACTGAGTCGGTTTCTGTCGACTTGGCGGTCTTTCTCACTTCTTCTCTCTTCTTGGGTTGACTAGTGGTCGACTTGTTGACCTATCCAGGTCGGGTTGGTTGGGTATCGCGACCCATTGCCTCCTTGATCATTGATAGAAGTCGAGTTACTTTAACTTTTCCGCGTTTCTCGGCTATTCTGTAGCGATTGCTTTTTCTTTGTCCCCTTATCCCTTGTCGATTCTCGTGGGTCGACCTTGCTTGTCTTGACAAGCCTTAACTCATGACTTTTATTAACTTCAAACTCTTCCTTCTTTTTCTTTCCTTAGCTTCCGACTTGTCTCCTCTCTCTGGCTCCCTGGGTCGTCAAATCAACGATTATACTCATCAAGCCGATGAGGGCTCTGGTTCCGACTCTGTCGAAGTGACCGGCTTTAAGATGGTCTCGTCGCCTCCCCGTCCTTCCTCCTCTCGTGCTTTCGCTTCTCCTGACGACTGGAATGAATATGACCAAGCGCTTCTGACGGGCGGTTTGTCGACATCTCAAAGAGCCCTTCTCGGGAAGGATTTCCTCGTCTCGACCTCATTCCTCGAGGTATACCTCTTAGGTTTTTACATATTCCTGTATATAGAAAGAGTCCCGTATCTGTACCCATAATTTGTCCTCTTCTCGACTCACAAAATGTTGTATCAATAGCTTGTCCTGTAGTTAGGTTAGCCACTCTAAATCCTTTTTCTTATGCCTCTGCAGCCGAGGTCGAGGGCTTCAAGAATTTTAGTGGGCTCCCTTCCAACTGGGAGTTGGTCGCTCCTGGTCCCCATAACGATTTCGCCCATCCTCCCCCTGGCTGTCACACCTTCTTTATTGACCAAGTCGTCTTCGGGCTTCGGTTTCCCATCCAAGACGAGCTTATTATGATTAGTAATTTGTACGATGTACCAATAAACCAATTTTCTCCCAATGCCATCCGTATTATGATAGCTTTCATAGTCGCCTCTCGAATAATTCTTCATTTCTTCTCGCCCGACTTTTTCTTTTATTGTTATAGCTATCGACTTATCAAGGGCGCCCATTGCCTGGTTCGTCGCGCGGGTGTTACATTCCTTGACGACCTCTCTTCGAATGTTACCGAATGGAAGTCGAAGTACGTGTTTATCCGACCAACTGTTGGTATGTATCCCTATGTAAATACCTGGATAACTTTGAAAGTGAAACAGAATAAGCGGCCTCGCTCTGACGAGTTTGCCATGCTCGTAAAGGAGCTTAATAAGCACACCTACAGTGCTCGTCAATTAATAAAGGACCGTGCGTTGGTCAATCATGCCCACATCGTTATTTACGAGGATCTTCCTCGTCTTGATGATCCCCGTAAGCCATCCACGCTTCCTTTTGGGAAGTCGATCTCCTGTCCTGGTCATTTGTATTGTGATTATTGTCTTGTTTTGTTGCTAACTTTCTTGTTTTGCTTTCAGTTAAGGCACTCAAACGCTTCGAGGTAAAAAAGAAACAGGCGGCCGAGAAGCCAGCTAGTGGATCCGCTCCTCCCCGCCGCCCCGAGAGTGGATCTGGGTCGAAGCCCACCTCTGTTGCGGTCGAGACATCGGCTGCGAAAAGATCTAGGGTTGAAATCCCTACTGCTGCCCAGCAGCACCAGTCGGGCTCTCACTCTCGAAAGAGGGCCCAAGACGACAGGGCTATTTTCCTGGTGCCCGCGGAGCTCAAACCTCGCAAGGTCGACAAGGGCAAGGGTAAGGCAGTCGAGAAGTCTTCTCCTGCCCCGATCACCGTCAAGGACGTGACAGTTAAGATGCCTTCTCGGCTTTGGAACCACCCGGATCCGTATAAGGTGGCCCAGTACTTTAATTCCCTCATCCCCGAGGTCGATAAAGAGCGCGTCGAGGAGAACCTCTAGAGCGCTCCAATTATGCTATCCTGTGCCTTTCTCGGGTATACTTTTCTTTACCCTAGTCGACTCGGTATTACATGTCCTTGGATTCATTTATCTTTTTCTTATCCGTTTTTAATGTTCTTTTGTAGTTTCTGGCCGCGACGCTTCCCAGCTTTGAGGAGACGAGTAAGGCTCCTGCTATCTCCACCAAGTCCCTTGAGGACAAGTGTGAGGCGCAGCGCAAGGAGATCGAGTCTCTGAAGGAGGACCTGGAAGCCTCGAAGGCCCTTGTCGACAAGTTGAAGGCCGACAAGGCCGTGACTCGCCATCTGAACGACAAGCTGAAGGATGACCTCGCCAAAGCTCGTGATGAGTGCATGGTTGAAAGAGAGGACGGCGTCGAGGAGGGGCACAGGACTTTTCTGAAGTCCCCCACGAGTGCTATCTTCCTCGAGACCTATTGTCAAGAGGTCGTCAAAGCATTTTGCAATTCTCCTGCCTTCCTCGACAAGCTCTGCCCTGCCACCGTTCAATACTTCGACTATGCCTTCGATGCGTGGGCAGCGGTGGTGGAGGGGTCTGAGTTCGCGGGAAAACTCGACCGTGATGAGCTCAAGGGGACGCTTCCCGACCCAAAGGGTTATGAGGGTGACTCGTCTCTTCCCGATGACTATCCGTGGTGATCGGGACTCGAGGCTTGGGCCATTCGCAAGGCTGTCCTGAGTGCTCAACTCGAGGCCCCCGTCGCCCCCCTGGCCGGTTCGATCGAATTAGTCAGGCCAGAGGGGGTTAGTCATGAGGAGGAGGCCGAGGAGCAGGGGACCGAGCCACTTGTCGAGGGGGATGGTGGAGAGAAAGGCGAGGAAGATGGTGAGGCTGAAAAGACCACGACGGTCGTAGAAGGTGGAGACGACACCGCTGAGAAGTCAGATGCCGACTCTTAGATGTGTTTGTCTAACTTGGGGCTGTGCCGCTGTTTTTGGTGTTGCTGTTGTTTTTTTTTTTTGTTTTTTTTATTCTCGGC